CAATACTCGGTACACTGACATGTGTATTTATTCTCAAAATGCACTGTCATCTGAGGTCTATTGTTGATTGAACATTTACAACATAAACATTATCACCATTATTACATTTCACTCGATTCAAGTTTTTCTTTTAAGGAAGTATATGCACAAAAACATCAAATTTGACTGATCCGAGCTCATTTATCACGTGAGCAAAGAGACGAATTTTACCTCCTAATTATATTTCAAAGCTATTTCTCAACATTTTTGGGGTTTCAGTAACTAGAGAAATTATCGTAGTATTTGTGTTTCTACAAAATTTATATCAAGCCAATTCAAAATGACTAAATATCGTCACTAAACATACCTTCTTTCCTCGTTCAAAGTCGCGAAATGGGATGAAAGTCCTCATAATATCGAGCAATATCCGGGGTACGGTATACCGCAGTGTGCATGCTGCTTAGATTTTAAGGGAGCTTAACGTCATATGTACGTGACAGAAAACAGAGAGTTGCTACCCTTGCGTATCAGAATATCCAATCTTCCGCGTTTAAAAAATCAGGTTGAGATAGTTAAAAGAAAGGTAATACATTTTCATTCTGTGTCCTTGAAATTTGAAATCATATTTATATGAACTCATGAACATTTACTTAAATGATTAATCATTTTCTGCTCTTTAAATGAAATAGTCCTGCCTTTGATGTAAAGACAAATATAAGAATACTAAAAAGTTATTACACTGACATTCTTTTTGTTACAAAACGACATCTACGTGTACGACATTGGTATAATTTGTTCGAACAAAAATAGGACACCATCTTTTAAAGATCCTGAATGTTGTAATTCAGGTTGTTACCACCCTTAAGTGAAATTTTATACATGTATATAATTATGTTTCTAAAACAATTTTCAAACAGCGAAGAATATGTAAAAATATTTACAGCAAATATTTGTCCACATTATATGTTATTATTGAAATGAATGAATTCATTTCTTATTGAAAATTTTCATTTAGACTTTATGGAAAATAAACTTCTAATTACCTCCCTTTATTAACATGAAATTTAAATTCGGTACTATCGTAACAAATAATGCTTTTGGAACTTACACTATTGATACATCTTCATTTGAGCATTATTATAATTATGATAAAAAAACATACAAAAGTTAGTTACAGGAAACAAATACATTTTTTTCTTTAGAAATGGCAAATATGACTTTTATAATGTTTAATTAATGGTTTAAATGTATGTTAAATGTTTGTTACCTTCAGACATTACCGATAAATGTATATACTTGTTGTAAAGGTAGCAAAATGTAAAAAAGTAGCAAAGTAGAATTGTGTATTCGATACAAAATACTTTTTGACTATAACTGTACTTCTTGCCAAAAAGCAACAAATGTAAAAGATGGTTCAAGTAATTGGCCTATGAGTTACAAGTAATACAACAGAATTAAAAAGCTTTTGCGAAATAAAAGCATTTCTGAGACATTTTTACCATGCATTTTCGACTAAAATTCAACAAAAGAGGCTATGACAGTAACAATTTTAACTTGTTTTTTTAATCGGATATGCTCTTCCCTATATAAAAGCAAAACAAAAACAAACAAAAAACTGATGCGTTTTTAAAGTCCGTCAGTGCATTTAGAGAAAATAAAAATAAGTTGTAAAGGTAATGTGATTATATTTTTATTATCAACACTATGTTAAGACTTGATCAATAAAAATCTTAAGTCATTAGTTGTCTGTATTCACAATTCCTTTCAACAGCACTAATGGGTACATTTTTTTTTTTGAAAACTTAGTTGTCCTTTACACAAGTATTATATACGTTTTATAAATTATCATCGAATTATGTATATCTAACTTGAACTGGTTAAAAGAATTGAAATCTTGGAAAATCTCTTTGCCAGAATCTAGAAGGAAGCCAGAGCTTTGATTTATGGTTAATAACATGGATAAGTCCTTAGGTCAAAATTTACCCACACTGGAATTCTGATACTAAGAACTTATGTTCTTATGAATACAAATTTTAATCTTCTTGCCTTCGTATATAAATGTCCCTGGAGTCAGAAGTTGCCCTATTTTGTGGTCCTGTTTCAACTTATAGATTTTCATAGAGTAAAAAATTTTGAAATTTAAAACCAATGAGATTGTATATATATGTATTGTTACATAACTTTGCCAAGATAAGTCTTATACAGGTCATACAAATCGTTGATCTTGCATCAAAAATACCATTTAATTTGCTTCCCTGATTTATTTTAAATAACTGTGGACTTTAATCATGGATGAATAAGAAATACCCGTAACAGGGTACATAGTTATTTTTTGAAATTATTAAATGCGTAAAATTTAAATTAACCTTTGATTCATTTACTTCTTTTTATTTATATCCCATTGCATACTAATTACCTGTATGAGGAAGTCTCAATGACAGGCATATATTATGTACACATGTACGTACAAATGTTTCTTATAAATAATAATTCAAATGAAGACACACTTTCTTTAAGTTAACCCTTTTGTAAACGTTACAAAATATGTTTATTTTCAACTTAAAGAGCAGTTATTTTATGCAACACTGTACTCAAAAGGATTTATAATAGAGTTTATGCTTTCAAGGGCGATAATCTCACTGTGTAGCCCCCTGAGAACTAGAATACAAACTTCCGCGATCCAAAGTTCGGGTTATGACGGACTGATAGAAAGGTGAGATTTTCAGCTTTTCAGTATAATATTGCAAAATATTTATGTTTAAGCACGATGTGTTTACTTTTGAAGATAAATAGTCATACGAGCATTAATATTAATTAAAAGATACGTTTATGTGATTTTGTTCACAGGTAAACGTTGCGTGGCCATGACTTACACTATACCCCCGTTCCCTTTTACCTGTGATTTTGTTAAACAACTGAAAATCATATCACGTGACTTAGTTTTCGTAAATAAAAAATAAAAACCGGGTTACTTTACTTGAAAAACATTTTTTAATTAATACTGAATTTAACGTTTACAATGAAAGTTCAATGAAATATCCAAGATGAATAAATAAATAAGTTAAAATGTTAAAGGGATACTCAGGCAATATTAAAATGATCCAATGTACTCCAATCACGCTATAACGACATTTATAAAGCCCAAGCATGTATTTCTGTATAAATTCTGTATAGCGTAAATATATCTGTGCATGTTGAACAAAATTTAGACACCGACATAATCACCAAGTTGTTTTAAAACAATTCATGTAACATGAACAAACCTTGGAAGTTACAATAACATATATTGTTGGATATTGTATGATTGAAACAAGTCTAAGTCATTCATTTGACATGTTCTTTTACGTTTCTAGAGTGCACTGTGACAACTATTGTGAAATCTTAACGCTCTAACCTGACCCGCGTGGGTGAAGATAGGAAAGCGCCATTTTATTGTGTCGCCTTGAAAAGGTGACATATAGGGATTACTTTTGTCGGCGGTGTCGGCGGCGGCGGCGTCGGCGTCCCCTAAAGCTTGTCCGGAGCATAACTCAGTCACTTTAAGTCTGATTGACTTCAAACTTGGTATGCAAGCTTCTTCAATAACCCGAAGTGCAGTGCACAAGGACCGGTACTCTGCACTTCTTAATTTTTGAGTTATTGCCCTTTGTTAATTTTCATACTTTAATTTTGTCCGGGCCATTTCTCTTCAACTATAAAAGCTATGGACTTGAAACTTCATAGGATGATAGATCTCATTAAGAAGAAGTGCAGTGCACAAGAACCGGTACTCTGCATTTCTTATTTTTTGAGTTATTGCCCTTTGTTAATTTTCATACTTTAATTTTGTCCGGGCCATTTCTCTTCAACTATAAAAGCTATGGACTTGAAACTTCATAGGATGATAGATCTCATTAAGAAGAAGTGCAGTGCACAAGGACCGGTACTCTGCATTTCTTATTTTTTGAGTTATTGCCCTTTGTTAATTTTCATACTTTATTTTTGTCCAGGCCATTTCTCCTAAAGTATAAAAGCTATGGTCTTGAAACTTCATAGGATGATAGATCTCGTTCAGAAAAAGTGCAGTGCATAAAAACTGGTACTCTGCATTTCTTAGTTTTTGAGTTATTGCCCTTTGTTAATTTTCATACTTTATTTTTGTCCAGGCCATTTCTCCTAAAGTGTAAAAGCTATGGACTTGAAACTTTATAGGATGATAGATCTCATTAAGAAGAAGTGCAGTGCACAAGAAGTGTTACTCTGCATTTCTTACTTTTTGAGTTATTGCCCTTTGTTAATTTTCATACTTTATTTTTGTCCGGGCCATTTCTCCGAAAGTATAAAAGCTATGGACTTGAAACTTCATAGGATAATAGATCTCATTAAGAAGAAGTGCAGTGCACAAGAACCAGTACTCTGCATATCTTATTTTTTGAGTTATTGCCCTTTGTTAATTTTCATACTTTGTCCCGGTCATTTCTCCCCAAGTATGAAAGCTATGGACATGAAACTTCATAGGATGATAGATCTCATTAAGAAAAAGTGCAGTGTTTAAGAACCGGTACTCTGCACTTCTTATTTGTGAGTTATTACCCTTTATTAATTTTCATACTTTATTTTTGTCCAGGCTATTTCTCATAACTTATAAAAGATATTGACTTGAAACTTCATAGAATGATAGATCTTGATAAGAAGTGCAGTACATAGAAACTGTTGCTCTGCACTTAATATATTTTGAGTTATTAACCTTTGTTAGTTTTCATATTTCATTTTTTTCCTGGCCATTTCTCCTAAACTATATTGTTCACAAGGCGACACATCCGACTCGCGGGGTTCTAGTTTTTTTATAAAGTGAAAAGTTTTGTTCCTGTGACAGTTTAGTGCATTCATTTTGAGGACATTTACAGAATAATGAATGAAAAATTCAAAACGAAGAAATTAAAATTTTTCCTGTGTCTCCCTTTAAACTTTACAATAAATGGGACACTAGCTGATAAATATGTGACGTGTTTAAGCTTGCAAACTAAGTTCTTTCGAGATAGCGTTGGGAAATACACACTTAGATAATGAATTAATCACACACACAGGAACAAACAATAGATACGGTTTATTTAATATTAGGAATAAAGGTTTAGTTTAAACATATTTACTTCCCCAAAATATATATGCGTACGCGCGCGCGTGTGTGTCCATTTACAATATACACAACGCATTTCAAATATTCTTACAAAGTGTCTTGTATATGATACAAGAGAACACAAATATTTCCATTGTGATGTGTTTGTAATTGTTCATTTATATTTAATACGTAATTTCGTTTAATATGTGGTTGGCGGGAAGTTGATTTTTTAATTTCTTTTCATTTAAGAAAATGGAAGTGTCGGGAAAGGTAACTTCGAAATCGATGGCAAACTTTAACCTGTACTGTATTCCTTGTGACAAAGATGGATTAAAGGAACAAGCTTACGGATTTTGTCAGGACTGCCAGGAACATCTTTGCCAAACTTGTTTTCAACATCATAGAAAGTCAACGCCATCAAGACACCACGTACTGCTTGAAAAAGACGATATGCCTACACAACAAACGACCGTTGGTGTAAATGCAGACGTCATTACTGACAGCTGTACCAACCATAGGGATAAACCACTGGAGTTCTATTGTAACAATCACAAAACTGTAGCATGTTATGTCTGTGTTACACGTGAACACAAACAATGTAAAGTTGACTATATTCCTGATGTTTCTGGTAACATATCTGGCGAGTTGATAGATTTGAACAAGAAGATGAAAGATTTAGCCAAGAAATGTGAATATAACATTATGAAGGCTTCAGCTGCTACAAAGCAACTAGAACAAAAACGTGGGAAAGTTGTTGAGGACATACGGATCTTTAGGAAGGAAATAAACGACCGTTTAGATCAGTTGGAAGCGATGATGATGACAGAAGTTGAAGCTGTTGTTAACACAGCAAAGTACAAAATCGAGAATATGAAGGTTGCTAGTAAAAAAATTGCCGAGGAAATTAAATGTTCAGAGTCAATTCTTAATGACCTGCATAAAAGAAAAAAGCAGATTAAGCTTTTCATTGAAATGAAGAAAGTCACACCTCGTATGATGACACTGGAAAGTGAAGAAATACAGATTGTCCAAGATAACATGACATTTCACGAAATTCAATTTGATCGGAACGAAAGGTTACTATATCAGCTGAAAGGTGAGAACAACTTTGGAACAATTTCAACATACAGAAAACGATCAGAATATACTGAAATAGGTGTGAAATATGAAACATCGCACAACATGACTTTTCCTTCTGATAAAGAACGAAGTTGTGTCTCGGGGATGGTTGTGGTTTCTGCAACGCAAATGATCATTGCTGACTACGGTAATAAAAAAATTAAAACGATAGATGTAGGCACAGGGACGCTGCTGTCAGAGAAAACTTTGTCTTCATCACCAGAAAATGTTATAAAACTTCCACAAAATAAACTTGCTGTCACATTACCTGATGAAAAATGTATCCAGGTAATGTCTTATAAAGATACAAGTTTGTCTTTAGATCGTCGTATAAATGTCGGAGAATCGTGTTATTGTGTAGCTTATTGTCAGGGAATGCTAGTAGTAGGCTGTAATATTAATCCATGGAAGCTGGTTATTCTGGGTTTAGATGGGCAATTGATACAGGTGTTTTGTACTCCTGGCTTGTTTTATGGACCAAGAAAGATTGCTATCAGCAGTGATGAGAAGTTCATGTATGTGTCTGATTACTTCGTCCTTGAAGGTAAAGGAAAGTGCATGAAGATAGACTGGTATGGTAATGTTGTAGCAAGCTTCACGGATCAAGGATATGTTTGCCCTTATGGAATACAGGAGCTCGAAGATGGCACGTTGTTAGTTTGCTTCTACAACAGTAACAAAATTGTCAGATTATCAAGCATCTTTAAGAAATGTAATATCACAGGATTAGAGAAAATAAACATTTCATATCAACGGGCTATAACATACAGTGAAAGAAATCACAAATTATATGTAAGCTGTTCTTCTGAGCAGGGGTTTCGTTCAAATGATACAATAAAAGTATTCAACGTGAAAAAGATTATTGCATAGTATGTTTTGAATGTGAATATTAGCTTCAATGTGGTACATTCATTGATAGTTCTACACATTAAATTATTAGGAACACATTCAATACAAAAATACATCTTGTAATCAAATTTGATATATTATGGATATCTAAATAAATATTATTTTAGAAAAATGCATACTGAAAGTAGATATCATTTTTGTAAAATTCAAATGTGCGATAAATGTTGATCATTTATATACCATGTTAAAGAACAACCTTTCAATTACATATTTACATCTCCAATAAGTATCTCAATTTTGAATTTAATTGATAACTCTGCTTTGAAGAATCGTAAACCCTATGTTACATTTTTAGGTATGCAAAGAAAATAATGTTATTTTGACTTATCCTTAAATATACATGTAATAAGCAAATGTTGCATACCGCTTTTAATTCAATGACAAGAAAAGGAAAAACAATATTTCGGTACATGTGGACAGACAAGTGTAAGATTTGTACAACATGTAGTTACTAAATGATTATTGTTGACTTCATCAGTGATTTTGATAAGTATTTAACTATTGACATGTCACATAATTTGATATCAGCTGATTATAAAAGTTAATTTGTTGACCATAGATATATATTATGTTGCAGAATCGTTACATTTAAAATGTTGAATTTCATACTGATCGAGAAAAAGAAAAGCTTTTAAACAATACATATTTAACATAATTATTTGTGTATTGTGGTAGTAAAAGATATGCTATGTAGTGTTGTTTTTACAAATAATAACTGTATATAAAACTCATGTTTGTATGATGTATGATGTACTGAGATGAATAAATTTGATTTATTTTATTATTTGATTGGAATTACGTTTATATCCCTGGTTAATCATTCGTTTATTTAATTTAATTGAGTCAAATAATACTTAAACACGTAAATAAAATCATAAATAATAAATATTAATTGAAATAGAGTTTTATAAAGATTTTATTATTTTAACGATGAAAATTAATTCATTATCGATTCAGTGTATGAATGTTTGGAGTGATGGGCGTTGATCCCTCTTCACACTTATACAGCAATTCTTCAAGTCCATTATCTTTGATTTTGCATTATCGCATGATGCGGCGATTTGTCTTTGATCTTCCTCAGCTGTTACGTACGCCAATAACATGCTTTTTATGTAATTTTATCTCGCCAGATGATATAATAATAATTTAAAGGTACTAAAATATACATGTATTTATTTCAATGACAAAACACATACTAAGAATTATTGCAAACTAGAAATTGCAAAAGTTGTTCCTCTTTTGGATTTGCTTCATTATCAGTAACAAAAAATAAACAACATCAGCACCAACAACATCATCTTCATCATTATTATAATGTATAGTATATGTACTTCCTATAATAAGCGTCATATAAACACAGCTGCAGATGTTTTTAAATTCAATACATATGTATTTTAACATTTCAGGTTAAATGATGAATTTCAATTAAGGTGATTCCGCTTTCTCAGCCATGTTTATTTTCAATAAGTGGGTCCAAAGTGAAAGACAACAAAGCTCACAATGTAAAATGATGAACCATACACTTTCAGCTCTAGGACTATTATAAACAACAACAAAAATGATAACAATAAGAATATTTACCTTGAATGTGCTACATTTCTGAAGACTTAGTATAATCTATTGCAAAGTTTTATGGACATCAATTTTGCCGTTTCGTGCGCTCGTTAGAGATTCTTTTTTTTTCTCTCTTTTTTACCGGTATTTTGACTTTATACATGTTTTTTTTTCGACGTCAGGGATGATTCTGTTTAATTTAAAATGTTGTTCCATAGTATCTTTTTTCAGATTAAGGGCTTGATAGCTTAAACAAGACTGATATAATGGATATGTGGATTAGTTTTTATTTGTTTGGGTCGTCAGACCAAACAAATAATGGTAGCGAAATTTCAGAGCCTAATGCTGTTAATTGTAAATGCCTAAAGTAGTCCACTTTTTTGAAGCGGTTACTTCCCTTTATATGTACACTAACGCCGAAAAATTCAGGGGAGATCAATGCGTAAAGATTGTCAAATGACAGGCGCATTAATTTTCAAGCAAAGTAGTTCCCGAATGGTCGAAGATTTCTAATATTGTTTCATTCTTTATAGATATACATGCTTACAGTAAGCTCCATGATTATTTACATCTGTGTTAAACGTCGAAATAATAAGAGTTACAAACCCTAATTAAGAATAATATGGTTTTCTTCAGGCCAGTAACCTTCACCGTGGCCGAGGGGTTTGCGCGCTCTCTTATGGATCGAGAGGTCTGGAGTTCAAATCCCAGTTGAGGCAACTCTTTTTTTTAAGTCAAATAAACATTGAATTGACTATCAGTGTTGCAATTAGTATTATAGCCAATTTACTAAAGTTAAAACACTGGAAAGCATTGGTGGCACTATACAAAAACAAATTGGTTTATAATCTCACAACCTTCACCTTTCTGAGACCCAAACAAATTCTGCGCTTTCTGTGCTTTGATTTTTATACATGATGGATGTTTCATTTAGTTTCACCCCTTTCATACTTACCTAATCCAGTGTTAAGGGGTGTAGACAGTACCTCACCGTCTAAGAGCAGACCGATCCTGCAACATTTTAAATTGTGCCGTTTAAAAAAAATTCTTTAAGAATTTCTATTTTCTATTGAATTTCTCGTGTCATTAGTGATTAACGTTTTAAGATCTCTATTTATTTTTGTTATTTCACACACTTTCTTTTCTTTAATTAACATAATCCCTAATTTAAATAAATCGTAAAACAGATAATATGATGCGATATATTAATCTTTTAAAAATATAAAAGTTTTAAAGTGTATGTCATCATATCATTGATTTGCATGATAAAACCATTTAACCATATTATAATAATGAAATATTAAACATATAAAATTAAAGTAAAGAATCATCTGTATAGACATTTACCGTATTTATGCAAACACTAGGTTGTTGCACGTGCAATATGCTGTTTCGATACGGTTCCGTAATCGCGTCTCAATGAAAACCACGAGAATTTCGTTCAGTTTATATGTAAACATTTGAAACAGTAAGCATTTGAACACGAAATATATACTTGGCTAACAAGGAAAATCTCACACAGAAGAAATGTACTTTTTCTTTAATATCTCTTTTCTTTTTTAAAATGTCCATCAATACTAAAATTATTTATTCTATACTCCATAAAATATATATCTTATCGCTTTGTTTTATTTCTCTTTCTGTCTATAGAGTATGTTGCTTTGTTTATAAATTATGATAGTAAAATTACAGATCTTTGTGTCTAAATGCTTTTAATCAGCGAACACTTCGGTTAAATGTGTTGTAATAAAAATACGTTTCTTATTCTACTTTCGGTATATGAAATTAAAAAATGTTTATCTTTGTGAAAGGGTATTTTCCGTCGATCAGCGGGTCAGAAAGATTGGAAATTTACAGGAAGATGTCATTATTTCCGTTCCAGAAAGAAAAACTTGAATACTACTTCAACTTCTTTGGTCAGTGTGACTTTTTGCTTCTACTTATAACGACTCAAAATTATTTGCAAATATTGTATGAAATAGTGGCAACTCATTAGCGATTCTAACTATAGTATCATGTCGTGACGACCAATTCCAAATATTGTATCATGTATTGACAACATATAGCGAATTCCAAATAAAGAAGCATGTCGTGACGACCAATTCCAAATATTGTATCATGTCGTGACAACATATATCCAATTCCAAATAAAGAAGCATGTCGTGACGACCAATTACCAATTCGGAATCAAGTATTTGATTGTGACGTTCATAACCAATTTCAACTGAAGTATAATGTCCTGACGACTCATAACTAATTCATATATACTGTCTTATCGTGTTATGTACTTAAATGCCGTTAGGGCTATCGCCTATGAATGTGTTGATCTAAAACGCGATAGTCGATAGTACGATGGTGAAAACGCGAAATCACGAAACTACGATGGTGAAAACGCGAAAGCACGATGATGAAAACGCGATAGTACGATGATGAAATCGCGACAGTACGATACTACGATGATGAAAACGCGATAAACTATCGTGTTTTCACCATCGTACTGTCGCGTTTTCACCATCGTAGTTTCGTGATTTCGCGTTTTCACCATCGTACTGTCGAGTATCGCGTTTCAGATCAAACCATTCATAGGCGATGGCCCTAACGGATTCCGTAGTTATGACGGTCCGAAACCAATGACAACTACAGTAACACCATGTCGTGACGACACATTCAGAGAGATAAATCAAATCATTCCATTACTCGATTTGCCCCAGTCCCCTATGATTCGGGTTTTCGATCACAATACTCATTTATTTACAAGTTTACATGAATACCTTATTGTTCTCGATCCAGAATTATCTTATCTATCCTTAATATATGCGTTTCAACTCGTATTTAAGAAGTTTAGAGCAACAAGTAAAACGATTATTGCAACAGCCATATTTAACAATCGCGACTAAATCAATGTGTTATAACTTCTGATGAAATTACAAAACTTTTGATTTAGATTCGGATGGCAATGGACAATTGGAATTAAGTGACCTTGATGGATTTATGAAGGTAAAAGTTTACTTTAAAAACAACAACAATAAGACCTGTATTTATTTGCTCCTTAGTATGTGACTATGTTAAATTTGATAAGTCTACACAATGTATGATACGAACCTTTCTGTGGCACATCATGTCCTAAACAATTTCACAATTAAGTCATTTTATTATTCATAGATATAAAACCAGGAAAAATGTTAAGGATTATAGCTGCACCAATAAACCATTGAAAATATGTAATCCTGAAATTAATTAATGTCTTTATACTTTCATTGACGTATTTAATATAAAGCAAATTTCTTTTAAAATGTTATTATATATCATGTTATTATTATTATTATTATTATTATTATTATCATTATTATAATTATTAATATTTAGGCTACCTCATGACTTGACTTATCGATCTAAAGCAATCAGGCTGATACATTGAAATTGATACAAAACCCAAGACTTTGGTTGTTTCCTTCTGTAGTTGTCAAACAATCTATCGTAATATTACATGTAATTTCTTTTTTATTTCAAACTGTCATCATTGACACCTAACTGTGTACGCTACAGAAAGTTCAAGACTTTACTGGTTGGTCGGAATCCTCTCCTACAAGCTCGAGAATGTTATGAAGTACATGAGTGTTTCTTCTCAACTCTAATCGAGAAAATGGACAAAGCTAAAAATGATAATTTATCTCTCTGATTGTAAAATTATTTCTATTTATGTACGTTAAGATATTATATGATACTGTAACATGTACTTATCTCATCATCCAATAGGGAGAACATCAGATTGGTAATCCAGAGGTCCCTGGTTCGATCTTCGTCGCAATCATCGGGCTAGTTGAAATTGTTTTGAGAGTAAATTATCGACATCGAATCTAATGATTATTTGTCTCTCGCAGCTGATTCATAAATCATGTAGAATTTGTAGGCTGTCACTTGTTCTAATCCTGTTTTTTAAAGAATGTATGAATTGCTCTCTGTATATTGTAAATTGTAACATGTGTATATATTCTGAGAAATAAAATATGTTTAAACTAAGGAAAGCTAGTTACTTTGACCAACTGCCGGGATATACCAAAAATATTGAAAACCAAGTAAAAAAAGGATTTTAAAAAAAGAACGCCTCATTTTGATCCGATATCAGTTTTATACTAAACATTTTTAGAGAAGAGAATCAGTTTAAGCATAAACGTATTGTGTTTGACCCATATGTTTAAGGTATGTTCTATTTTATTACGCT